GCTCTGTACATATCAGATTGGTGTTTCGGAATATAGCCATCGGAGCCTGTTACTCGATAACATGATTGTGGAACGCCACAAAACCATTTTAGCTCCGTTTGTCTGGTTTTGAAATAACTTTTTATGTGCTTGTAACTAGGATGTATGTTTTACGGATGAAACTTACGATATGGATTGAATTCATTAGGCAGCACAGTATACTTTGGTTCGCGTCAGTATGCCGATGAGGAATGGTTTTCTGGTGGATGTACAGAGTTTGTATTTGATGTCGACTAGGCGGTCTGCATGTACGACAACTGCTGATCATATATTTCAGATGCACTACTTTCTTTCAACGTTTTTGTGATGCTTTTCGAAATACCTCATCTGTATACACTTCACAAGTCATTCTAATCCCACATTGCGCATGAGTTTTTTCGCGCGAATTTTCACAATGACCATTTCTTAAAGCACACACACGTTCAGCCTGCCGCGAATGATCGTATTTATTATTGGAACAGAAAACTGGGTCCAATCAGTATCTACATTTGTAAGAAAATTCGTTAATTACTTATGGCATGTCTTTCGCCAAGAAATTATGGTGTAAATGTAAAGTCACTGGACAAGTGCTGCATTATGAGAAAGATGTTATCTCATTCATGTCTCAAGTTGAATGCGGTACAGGGCGTGACGTAATAGACACCAGTCATACGCAAAAATTGATCTGTAGCGTCTTATTCTAATTACAATTTAACGTCTTCGAACAACTGCTGCATGTTTCCTACTTCCAGTTGTCCGCAGTGCGGAGCCTGACGTAACGGACATCAGTATTTACATACTGTAGCGATCTGTCGCGTCCTATTTTTATTTGAATTTAACGTCTCCCAACAACTGCTGCACGTTTTCTACTTCCAGTTGTCCGCATTGTAGAGCCTGACGTAGTGGAGACCAGTCAATTTATAAAGCGATCTGTAGCGTCCAATTTTAATTAGAAAGTAACGTCTCCCAGCAACTGCTTAAGATATTACCGCCTACATCCTCTGTGCATTCGTGTACATTCGTGCACATTCATGCCTCCTTTTGTAGCCCATGCCCCCTCCTCTCTACGTTCTCCATTTCTCCGCTACCCGCGCTGCTCAAACTCCCCATTTCCATGTCCCCTTCCATATCTTCTGCAGTCCGCCACTGTCCCCTTCCCGTGTACCCCACTTCCTCTTCCGCCAGTTGACTGCAGTGTGGAGCCAGACATAATACACGTGAACTCTAAATTATGAAGTTGGGTCTCGCAACAACTGCTCCGAATTTTATCGCCTAGATCCTCTGTACATCCCCCTTTCACGGCTACTTCGAGTCCTCTCCCTCCTCAACCTGCACCCCCCTCTTTCCTCGTCTGCTGCACTTCCTAGCTATACCACGCCCTCCGCTTCTAAGGGCTTGTTGTAGACCCCGATGGCGGGCTGCTGCTTCTCACGCAACTGCCCCCACTCCCACCTCTACTAGGGCTCGTACCTACGCCTCTGTGCGTGCGTAGGCTGATATCTACGCTTTACATTCGCCTCCAGGTGTAGACACACCCCAGGGGGGAATGTAGCATAGCATTCGCGTTAGGACATCCCGCAGTTTCACGATTGCAGTATTGGTAATAACTTGAATGGGTCATGAGATTCCGTCATTTATGACTTGAAACATTTCACTGTAGCAATACTTTATATATAGCGTCAGCGCGGAGCAATGCTAGAAAGGCTAACACACGCATGACAGAATGCGAAACAGGTGCGAAAAAGATAGCGACAAATTCCATTTCGGAACGCGGAAAGCGGATCGTCCATGACCTCGTCGCTTACTAAGTTTATTGGTTCTCCCTTGAGACGGCCTTCTCGGACAGTAGCTTCGGAGAAGTTGCCCTTTCTAAATCATCAACTGTTTGCCCACTTTCAAGCTTGGGCTGTCGTCTTCTCCTACCGGTCTTGTCCCTTTCAAATCTCGTGGATCCCCCCTCCATCGCCTTCTTTCATGACATGGCCCTTGTCTTATTTGGAGCCCTTGTCGTGTGCTTCTGTCGCGTGCTTCTGTAGCTACTGTGTCGGCGATATGAGACTTTTTTTAGCAGTACGAGGGTGTCCGACCGTCAACGTTTTTTTTCCGGTCCACACCAATCGACCAAGTCAACATCTATCGATGTAGGTGGGATTTTTCTGTATTTGCGTTCTTGGACACGATCTGCTATGTAAATAATTATGAGAAATTGGAGTGATAGGAGATACATCAGGGCCAAACTCACACAACATGTCCAATAGAAGTACTCCATTTGTTTTACAACAGTAACTACATTCACGAACACCGTACCCTATGGTGTTGGTGTCCCGATCGGTGGAACTTCATCCAAACTTGATGAGGGCGCAGGCGTCCGTTTCGCCGAGAATTCGTTCACAGATGACAGGGGCGTTGGGGTGTTGGTCAATACAACTGCAACAGCGCTTGATGACATGAGCAATGTCCCAGTCGATGGGAGTGGTGGCCTACCAGTAGGTGACGGTACCGGGGTACGCCACGCCGCCACAACGCTGACAAACAGTGATGGCCTCGGTGATGCCGATGGTTCACACTCAGCAGAGACTTCACAAAGTCGCCGGCCGTCGAAGACCCAGGTACGGACCCCCCATCTCAAATCAACAGCTTTATACACACGTGCAAATTCATCCCTCCGTTTATAGCGCATATCCCCTTCTTTCTACGTTTTCCATTTCTCCGCCACACGCCCTGTTCCAGGTCCACCACCAAATCCCCTACATACCTTCTGAGGTCTTCTGCTTGCCAGAAACAGCAGACTGATCCTGACGTTTCGGACGTTTCGCGGGCTGTGTCTCAGTCGAACCACTTGATCTCCTCTTCGTAGTAGAATTCTGGGCAATGGGTCCGACCTTAGACTGTCGCTTTTGCGAGTCCTTGGACTTCACCGAGTCTGCCCATGCACTTCTGTCGCCCTTGTTTCTTCTAGAGACTTCGCCCTCCCGCCTTTCACGAGTTGAGTTGAATGATTCGTTCGATTCCTCGCCCTGAACAGGGCTTGGCGATTTGGGTCTCATCCCCGACACCATCGCGCTGGCCTTGCACTCTTTCATGACCTTGGCACGACTGGCGCGATGGCCTGCCGCTCCTTTTGCAGCAGCCTCATTCTGTTCAAGACATTCCGCGGCTGGGGGTGAACCAGGACTTCCTGAAATATTCGAGGAGATGGCGGAGCCGTGGCGAAATGAAAAAGGTTGACGGGTTGGTTTCTTGGTCTCATCATTGGAAAGTTGTCTCTTGCTCTTTTGACCCTTCTTTCCAGAGGTGGAGGCCGGAGCTCGTCAACAAGACAGGAAGCATCCAATCGGAGCTCGCCAACAAGACAGGGGCCACCCGCGGGACAAAGAAATCACGCACGTTTTACTTTGAAAAACGCCATTAAATTTTGGGGGACCGAAGCACCGAGCGCGATTGAGCACGATGGTATCGAATCGATGGTCCCGCTTGGTGTTCTGATGGAGGGAAGCATCGAGGGAGTCGAGAGAAATATAGATCGTAGTGTGGAGTTGTAAGATTGCGGGTCGAGAAAGGCAATGATGGTGACGCTATGAGCAACCTTGGGTGCGGTGAAATCTGTGAAGCTGTTTGAACTTGGGGTGGAAGGGCACGGAGATGCCGAGGCGATGGTGAGGCTTTGCGACATGCAAATACGACGTGCGGAGGTCGTGCGAACCAACGCGGGCCGCGGCGCCGAGTTGTACGAGCGTGCGATCCAGATGCGCCAAGATCACGATGCTATGCTCGGCATGACGCTCCTACTGCGGGACGGAGGGGACGGGTTTTGCCATGGATGCAGAGAGAGCTTTGAGGCTGTTGTAGTGCGCAATGCAGGGGCATGGAGAAGGAGAGGCAATGGCGCTTCATCCCAGCCTGGTGCGGGACGGAGCTATTATAGCCAATATGTCACTGAGGGCAGACGTGGTATAGGGGTAGGGTAACCTTGCTCGGTTGTCACAGGCATTGGCACGTGTTTGGGTGATGATGTTGCAGCACTGTACATCCTTCTATGCTCATGCGTAGCCCCTCTCCATCTACCATCAAATACGCACGAGGCACTCCCTACACTTCGCGCCAGCACTAGAGTAGAAGCACCATGAGTCTATTTGCATTTATGCAGATGAAATTACAAGGCTGATAATGCTTGTGGAAAATGGGCATGTTTCTTTCTCTTGTAATTTGAATATGAAGTTTATTGCAGAGCGGAAGTGCAAGTCATTCCAGATTGGTTCTGGTGAAGTTGCCCATGGACTGTAGTGATGCTTGTGAAATTTAGAATAAGTGACTAATCGGTTGGAGGGATAGGACAACTGCAATAGTTCATCATTTTTGATCTGGATTATCAAACAAAGCGTCAGTGTACATTAGGTAGGAAGGAGCCTAGGGCGAAACTGCAAAGAGAAGCTTAGACTGCTAGTTTAAGTTGCTATCCGTATCACTCCCGTGTGCCAAAAGTGACGTATTTATGACGTTGGTCAGTCGTGGCTCGACTTCTTCCCGCGCAATCACAAATGCTTTTTCTTGGTAAATGGCAGGGGTCTTCAGGCTCATCGTGAACCTGTCCATGAACTCTGGGAAACAGAAAAGGCTTCGGTGCACTGATCAATAGGGTATCCCGATAGTGAATGGCAGGAGGAAGAAGAGAAGGAGGCTTTGGGGGCGTGTTCTCTACCTTCATGATTTCATGAAGGAAGACGCGTGCGATTAAAGCATGAAAATATCTCTGCCTCCTGTGTCGTACCGGCATAGTGCTTATCGCTTTCCTGCACTCACACTTGAAACCGTCGGTGCTTCATTTCGCCCATCTCAACTATCACAATGACGAACACCGTAAGGTTACATTCCAAGGGAATACATCTTGGTTACAAGCGTAATCTACGTAACCAGCAGTGTGGCTAGTCACGCCTTCTAATCGACGGCATCAAGGATCGGATCGCAAGGATGCCCAGTTCTACATGTGTAAGCGAGTAGCTTACGTCTACAAGGGTCTAGTCGAGAAGAAGACTCCGAGCGGCGCCTCGAGAAAGTATCGCGTTATGTGGGGCCGCATTATTGCCCCGCACGGAAACAACGGTCACGTACGCGCGAAATTTCGCAATCAGTTGCCACCGAATTCCATCGGAAAGGGCGTTCGCGTCATGCTTTACCCCAGTACAATTTAATCACCTCAGAGCCCTGTTCTCTGTGTTTCTCTTCAACGGCCGATGCGGAGACGGCCTACTTCTTTCAGGCCTGTGACTGAGCGCGATCTATTGCGCTTTAGAGTACGGATACTTCCATTGATCAGCAAAGAGAAACAAGTGGCACTGACAGAAGAAGCGAGTGACTCCAAGTTACAGAGATTTGTACATGGTAAAGCAGCGAGAATTTTGCGATCGTTTCTATTTCTTTAGTTAGAGTGTTTGCTGTTTTTTTGGCGTGTTAATTTCTTTGCTTTCAACTTCTGAAGCCAGCAAAAATAACTTAACGGTGGGTGTGTTCCTCTCGACGTCCCCGAGTAAGGATACAACATTCCGAAGCGATGCCGTATCATTTGCTGCGATTTCAAGCAAGAATGAAGCAGCCCCCGTTGACTGGCTCGCCTTACTTGTGGTACTTACGGATTTGGACGGCAGTGAGAGCACAATCTTCGATAAACAGATCGAGAAAAGAAGTAGACCAATCCGATTAGGGGATTTAGGGGACTAATGCCAAATGGCGGCAGCGGCGGTGCCAGCGGCGGGGGCGGCGGCGGCACAAGGACGAGGGCAGAGCAAGAGGACGGCAGAGGCAGGGGGATAGGGATAGACACAAAAAACAACGCAGCAACAGACCATCCCAGTATTCCAGGTCCGTCACTGCGTCTGTGGTCCCAGCATAAAGCGTTTTGGCTTTTGTAAGACTTGAATCTTTAGTGCAGATGTGCAGTATGAGTGATAGCGCCCTGCGTGAGTTCCTTGAAAGCAGTGATGCAAGAAAAGTGGCTTTAGAAAGTCGAAATTTCAATTTTCTTATACTGCCAGGTTCGATATAGAGCCGTTTTCGTCCCACAGACACAGGTCAGCACTATATTACCAATACAGGAAATGTTAGTATGGGTGGCCACCCATACTAGAATTGCCCTCCGAAAAGTTATCAAATTTTAATAAAGTTGTAGTATGGCTGGCCACCCATACAGCAAAATGAAATCTTGTCGCGCGACAACCGCACTAGAATCACACCCAAATCACCCCCCAAAACATTACCAAAAATCACCCTAACGCAATGTATTACACGTGCGAACAGAAATGCTTTGTATGACACGTGGTGATCAAAACGCAATCTATAACACGTTACACTGTCGAACATTAATTAATGCATATTATAAACACTATATATTTAACTATGATGTAATTAATGTCGAGCAGCACAGTACCATCATTAGAACAATGGTACTCCGAAACAACGCGTCCTTAGGACGCCATCCTGGAACATTACACTGTCGGACATTAATTAATGCCTATTATAAACACTATATATTTAACTTTGATTTAATTAATGTCGAGCAGTACCATCACTAGAACAATGGTACTCCGAAACAACGCGTCCTTAGGACGCCATCCTGGAACATTACACTGTCGGACATTAATTAATGCATATTATAAACACTATATATTTAACTATGATGTAATTAATGTCGAGCAGCACAGTACCATCATTAGAACAATGGTACTCCGAAACAACGCGTCCTTAGGACGCCATCCTGGAACATTACACTGTCGGACATTAATTAATGCATATTATAAACACTATATATTTAACTTTGATTTAGTTAATGTCGAGCAGTACCATCACTAGAACAATGCCACTCCGGAACTCCGCGTCCTTAGGACGCAATCGCCGAACATTACACTGTCGGACATTGATTAAGTCGCCACGTCTAAAACATTGCATTTTGGTCGCCACGTGTACTTCATTGCATTTTGGTCATTCACACGTGAAGTACATTGCATTTTATTCGCCACGTGTAATACATTGCATTTTTGTCGTGCAACAAGATTTTCAAAAGCTGTATGGGTGGCCAGCCATACTGGAATCGACCTCCAAAAATTTAGCAAAAATTACATTAGTTGCAGTATGGCTGGCCACCCATACAGCTTTTGAAAATCTTGTTGCACGACAGAACATTGCATATCATACCAAATACTTGCCCTGCTCTTGCAAGCCTGCGCGATGTACCTTGATATTTTTGAGAGCCCTGCAGGGCTCTATAGTCAAAAAATCCCCCACTATAACTGAACAACAAACTTTACTTATATATCTTTTGCCAATCAATCGCGGAATCGACTACGTCTTTAAGCCCCAATGTCACAATACGAAGTCTAGAGTGCTCTAGAGTGCAGTAATAAGTCAGCAAATAAATAGACCCAAGGCATTAAACAAGCACACCAACTGGAATGGAGGTCGTGCGCGAGGACTCCTATTAATTAATCCCCTACTCCGACAATCCCCTAATTAGAAATATTGCAATTAGTAAATAATTGACGTTAATATTTAATGATCATTTAATTGTTGCACAAGCTCTACCATCATCCAGACAATGGTGCTCCAAAACCGAGCGTCCTTGGGACGCGATCTCGTTATTTATTAACGCATATTGCAATCATTATATATTTAATGCTCACGTACATGGCTTTCACACAACTTTCGATGACAGCAAAATCCGGCAATTGTACAACAGTGTTGTTCGTTATTACGAAGTCTTCTTGTGAGCCCACAGTAAAGCCTCTCTGCCTGTGGAGAGATCGGAGTTCTGGAAGGCGCAGGGCGGAAAGGTGCATGCACCGTTTGGGGGGCTGGAAGCGTTTGGTTGTGGTGCAAATATTTCTTAAAATGACGATGTCGTACGACACCCTTCGCTGGTCTGTGATCAGTGACCACTGATCACAGACCCATTGATCACAGGGCCATTTGCCAAAAAATTTGGAATCTAAAATTTTGTCAAATTTTACAGCAAGGACGATGTCGTACGACACCCTTCGCCGGTCTGTGATCAGTGACCACTGATCACAGACCCACTGATCACAGACCCACTGATCACAGACCCACTGATCACAAGGCCAAAATCTAAAACATTTTCTAAAAATTTGCAATCTTAAGTTTTGGCGATGACAACTTCGCCACGAGCGATACCCGCTCTGCTCACAGGCCTGTTGACAGTTTTTTCGCCCTAAAGCCAGCCTCCCTCTATCTGAGGTACTTTCCATTTAATATTGAGGTCTTCTAAAACTGTACTATCCCATTAACGCGAGTATTGCTCTGTACCCACAGACCCTTCTACATTATCACCGCCCTAAAGCCAGACTCGCTCTATCTGAAGTACTTTCCATTAACATTAAGGTCTTCAAAAACTGTACCATCCTATTAACGCAAATATTTTTTCGATATTATTGGGCTGCCGTTTCAACCGGTTGTGTCCAAGATTTGGAGGTGTCGTACGACACCCCTCCTTGGTCTGTGATCAGTGACCACTGATCACAGAACCAAAATCTAAGACATTTTTCTAAAATTTGGAATCAATGGAGGTCGTGCGCGAGGACCGTTGTACGTGGGAGTTGTCTGCATAATTGCTTGGTAGTGTCAGCTATTAACTCTTGCTTGACTGTGTCAGACATTACTTAGTCCCCTACTCCATTAATTTCCTAAATACAAATATTGTAATTAGTAAATAATTGAGGTAATTTTTAATGATCATTTAATTGATGCACAAGCTCTACCATCATCCAGACAATGGTGCTTCAAACCCTTGCGTCTTTGGGACGCAGTTTGGTAATTAGTTGGGGCATGTTGTAATCATTATACATTTAATGTTAATATTTAGTTTTCAATTAGTTAGAATTTTCGTGTAGTTTGATTCAGACGACAGTACAGCACACCATACGTAATGAGACGCAGGCAATGGGTCATACCGTAGTTTCCACGCAATAAAGTATCCGACGGACACCCGCTTCTTCGTGGATCGGAGGGTATCGGAGTTCACGGAACCACACTTCGAAAGCAGTGATGCAAGAAAAGTGGCATTTAAAAGTCGAAATTTCAATTTTCTTATACTGCCAGGTTCGATATAGAGCCGTTTTCGTCCCACTGGCACAGGTCAGCACTATATTACCAATACAGGAAATGTTAGTATGGGTGGCCACCCATACTAGAATCACCCTCCGAAAGTTATCAAATTTTAATAAAGTTGTAGTATGGCTGGCCACCAATACAGCAAAATGAAATCTTGTCGCGCGACAACCATCCTAGAATCATACTCAAATCACGCCCCAAAAAATATCAAAAATCTTAGATTTAACGTTAATAATTTAATATTTAACTACTATTTAATTAATGTCGAGCAGTACCGTCATTAGAACAATGGTACCCCGAAACTTTGCGTCCTTAGGACGCGATTGCGGAACATTACACTGTCGGACATGAATTAATGCATTTCATAAACACTATATACTTAACATTAATATTTAACTACGACTTAATAAATGTCTCGGTCGCCACGTGTACTTCATTGCATTTTGGTCATCTACACATGTAGTACATTGCATTTTGTTCGCCACGAGTAATACATTGCATTTTTGTCATGCAACAAGATTTTCAAAAGCTGTATGGGTGTCCAGCCATACTGGAATCGACCTCCAAAAAATTAGCAAAAATTACATTAGTTGCAGTATGGCTGGCCACCCATACAGCTTTTGAAAATCTTGTTGCACGACAGAACATTGCATATCATACCAAAGACCTTGCCTACTCTTGCAAGCCTGCGCGATGTACCCTGATATTTTTGAGAGCCCGGCAGGGCTCTATAGTCGAAAAATCCCCCACTATAACTGAACAACAAACTTTACTTATATATCCTTTGCCAATCTATCGTGGAATCGACTACGTCTTTTAAGCCCCAATGTCGCAATACGAAGTCTAGAGTGCCCTAGAGTGCAGTAATAAGTCTGCAAATAAATAGACCCATAGACCCAATGCATTAAACAAGCACACCAACTCGAATGGAGGTCGTGTGTGACGACCGTTGTACGTGGGAGTTGTCCGCGTAACTGCTGGACAGTGTCAGCTATTAACTCTTGCTTGACAGTGTCAGACATTAATTAATCTCCCACTCCATTAATCCCCTAATTAGAAATATTGTAATTAGTAA